AAAATTCAACATCCATTTATGATAAAAACTCTCAACAAAATGGGTATAGATGGCAAGTACCTCAACATAATAAAGGCCATATATGACAAAACCACAGCCAACATTATACTTAACAGTGAGAAGCTGAAAGCTTTTCCTTTAAGATCAGGAACAAGACAAGGATGTTCACTCTCCCCACTTCTATTCAACATAGTACTGGAATTCCTAGCCACGGCAATCAGACAGCACAAAGAAATGAAAGTCATCCGGATTCACAAGGAACAAGTTAAACTGTCCCTGTTTGCAGATGACATGATATTGTACATAAAAACCTCTAAGAATCCAAACTACTAGATCTAATATCTGAATTACAAAATTAATACACAAAAATCTGTGGCATTTCTATACACCAACAATGAACCAGCAGAGAGAGAAATCAGGAAAACAATTCCATTCACAATTGCATCAAAAAGAATAAAATACCTAGGAATAAACCTAACCAGGGAAATGACAGACCTATACTCTGAAAACTACAAGACACTCATGAGAGAAATTAAAGAAGATACCAATAAATGGAAACACATCCCGTGCTCATGCTAGGAAGAATTAATATTGTTAAAATGGCCATCCGGCCTAAAGCAATCTATAGATTCAATGCAATTTCTATCAAAATACCAACAGCATTCTTCAGCGAACTAGAGAAAATCATCCTAAAATTCATATGGAAGCACATAGGACCTTGAATAGCCAAAGCAATCCTGAGAAGGAAGAATAAAACAGAGGGAATTATGCTCCCCAACTTCAAGCTCTACTACGAAGCCACAGTAATCAAGACAATTTGGTATTGGCACAAGAACAGACCCATAGACAAGTGGAACAGAAGAGAGAGCCCAGATATAAACCCAACCATATACGGTCCATTAATATATGATAACGGAGCCATGGACATACAATGGGGAAATGACAGCCTCTTCAACAGCTGGTCTTGGCAAAACTGGACAACTACATGCAAAAGAATGAAACTGGATTACTATTTAACCCCATACACAAAAGTAAACTCAAAATGGATTAAAGACTTGAATGTAAGTCACAAAACCATAAAACTCTTAGAAGACAACATAAGAAAACATCTCCTGAATATAAGCATGAGCAATTTCTTCCTGAACCCATCTCCTCAAGGAAGGGAAACAAAAGCAAAAATGAACACATGGGACTACAACAAACTAAAAAGGTTTTGTACGGCAAAGGATATCAACAAAACAAAAAGGCATCCTACAGTATGGGAGAATATATTTGTAAATAACATATCTGACACGGGGTTAACATCCAAAATATATAAAGAACTTACATACCCCAACACCAAAAAGCAAATAATCCAATTAACAAATGGGCAGAGGATATGAAGGGACAGTTCTCCAAAGAAGAAATTGAGATGGCCAACAGACACATGAAAAGAAGCTCCACCTCACTAATCATCAGGGAAATGCAAATTAAAACCACAATGAGATATCACCTCACACCAGTAAGGATGGCCAGGATTGAAAAGACTAAGAACAACAAATGCTGGCAAGGATGCAGAGAAAGGGGAACCTTCCTACATTGCTGGTGGGAATGTAAGCTAGTTCAACCATAGTGGAAAGCAATATGAAGGTTCCTCAAAAAACTAAAAATAGAAATACCATTTGACCGCGGAATCCCACTCCTTGGAATATACCCAAAGAATACAACTTCTCAGATTCAAAAAGACATATGCACTCCTATGTTTATTGCCGCACTTTTTACAATAGCCAAGATACGGACACAATCTAAGTGTCCATCTGTAGATGAATGGGTAAAGAAGATGTGGTACATATATATAATGGAATACTATTCAGCCATAAGATAGAAACAAATCCTATCATTTGCCACAACATGGATGGAGCTGTAGGACATTATGCTCAGTGAAATAAGCCAGACAGAGAAAGACAAATGCCAAATGATTTCCCTCATTTGTGGAGTATAACAATGAAGCAAAACTGAAGGAACAAAATAGCAGCAGACTCAGAGACTCCAAGAATGAACTAGTGGTTACCAAAGGGGAGGGCTGTGGGAGGACGGGTGGGGAGGGAGGGAGTAGGGGACTGAGGGGTATTATGTTTAGTACACATGGTGTGGTGGGTCACAGGGAGAACAGTGTAGCACAGAGAAGGCAAATAGTGGCTCTCTGGCATCTTGCTGCACTGATGGACAGTGACTGCATTGGGGTATGGGTGGGGACTTGATAATATGGGTAAATGTAGTAACCACATTGTTTTTTTCATGTGAAACCTTCATTAGAGTGTATATTAATCATACCTTAATAATAATTAAAAAATAATTATACGATGGCATGCTAGAAAACAAGGTATAAGGAAAACCTCTTTTGTATATACGATCTGCTTGTGTGGATCCTACAATGGAGCTACATAGTTTGTTAGATTTTAACTTGGAAATAGATGATATATTTTGAAGTGAGAAGGAGGACAATTACACTCAGCACTCAGAGTAGAAAGGTCATGAATAATTAGAGAAAAGCAACAAAATAAGAAAATTCAGCCACCCACTAAAACAGTTACTCCTAAAGGTCACCTACTCACTTGTTCAACCATGATAAATTGTGAGAATTTTTTAAAATTCATCTTGATCTGTATTTTATTTTACTTTATTATTTTTTGGTTGATTTTTAGTTGAAGTGAAGTTGATATACAATATTATACCCTCCCCACCCACCCACGCACCCCAACTCCTCCCCCATGGGTAACCACTAGTCATTTCTCAGTGTCTGTGAGTCTATTACTGTTTTGTTTTGATTATTTATATGATAAATTTTATACTTTGTTCATTTGAGTACTAAATATAACAATCTAAAACAACAGAACCAATGTCAATATCTTCTTCAATAGACAAATAGAGAAACTACCCCTATTACACTTTCCTTGTTGGAAAAATGTAATTTAATTGAACCCATTGTAATTTTATTACTCTTTTTTTCTCAGAGGAATTTTTCTTTTACACTATTTCCTTAGAAATAAAATCAAATAGAAATTTTATACTTACAGAATTTTGTGCTTAAAAACCAGTTGATTATCTGCATTACCTATGACTAAGGTAACATAGTGAGAATCTGATGCTGTTCTTTTATTTTGCAGCTGTTCAAAGTTTCTTAATATAATGGTCACTAATATTTCTGCCATAGTATCACTGTATCTTGCAATCTTTAAAAAAGGATAGACATGAAAATTGCTAAAATAAATAACATCACTACTCATACTCAGCTCAAGTCAACTATGGGTAACTATTCCTAAAAAGACAAGCAAAATATTAAAAAAACAGAAAATATTTACCTGTTCTACTTCAAGTTCATATTTTGGTAGATACATCACTGTTTCTTTTATCTGAGTTCCAAAGGGGGGATGTCTATTTAAAATCTAAAAACATTTATATCATTATATTCTTATCATAACACTAAAGATTCCTATAGGAAAATATTTTTTAGTTATTAGTTTCAATAATGCTTATTACCCAAAACCTTAAAATACTTATAAGAAGGAAATCATTTCTCTAGTAGAAATAAAGATACTAAGTTAAGCTTTAGAATTTAGATAGAATTCAAGTAACATTAGGAGCAAGTGAATCTTAAATACCAGTTCAAGTTCCCTTCCATCCGTTTCTTCTATTTTTTTAAAGGAAGTCAAACCTGCATTTACCATTGCATTTGACAATGTTATGCCTGTGGAAAATAAATCAAATAGTAGTTTAAACAATCCATTTTGAACTAAGTCTATACTTAAATATATAAAAACTACATTAGTAAAAATATTTCTTAAAGATCCAGACTAGTAACTAATTTTAAAAGTCTTTAAAAATGTTTTCAGTTATATTTTTAGTACTGTTATTCAGTTGTTATTTAGTAGTTCATTTTTATTTTTTCAAACTGAAATAAAACAAGCCTTTGCTTTATAAAAGAAAGAGGAACTCCTTGGTCCACAGGATGACTGAACCCTTAGTTTTACCATATGGCATCTATAAAGCAAGTACCAAGAGACATCTACTGTTATACTAGTGTTTTTTAAAAAAGGGAACATGATTCAGCAATGGGAATATGCTTCATTAAGCTATGGCTCCCTGAGCATTTCTATCTTAGAAACAGAGTTCTAAGTCACATAGTTTTACTCTTTTACCTAAAATTTCCAATGCTTCCCACTGCATTTAGAATGAAGTGGTGATTTCCACACTACGGCCAAACTGTTACTTGTATCACTTACCACAGCTACCTCTCCATCTAATTTCCTACCATTCTCCTCTTGCTGACTACTCTGTAGCCACACGGGAGAGTAGTTCACTGACATCTTTGGACCTACCCTATTTCTTTATGCTTTAAGAAACTGGAATTTAAAATTCTTCAACACATATGAATGAACTTAATCAAATTCCAAAATAGAAGATATTGTCAGAAATACAAAATTCCAAAATATTCCCACCTTGTCTAAGGCACATATATTACTGGTATGGGCATGACAATTCTGTTTTCTTACTCATATCTTTAACTATTCTTCATAATTTCTCTTACTCATTCTTAAGATACAACTCCTAGTACTCATAATTTCTTAACATTCATTTTGATTTCCCCTCAAAACTTTTCCTGACTTTTAATTTTTTAGTTTATAAACATTTTTGGAAATCAATTTGTATTTTTTTCCTGATGTTCAGTAAGAACTTGGATTTTTTTTAAATTTGGACTCTCTTACTTGTCTACATGTACAGAAAATTTACATGAATTTTTCTGAGCAGTATTTGCTTCTTTCTATTCAGCTATACAGAGTAAGTACTGAAAATACATTAGTGCTCGACAATTTAGAAGGGAAAGAATGCAAAAGATGCCCAGACTGACAATATTCTAGAAAGTCAGAGAAACTGGTTCTTTGAAGTATATTGAAAATTTTATTAGTAATCATTTAACATCATTTTGAATTTTTCTGTAAGTTGCTATTTCCTTTTTGTTGTATGGAACCTCCTTCCCAATTCTTGGACTCTTGAACTTTGTGGGGTGGGTGTGGCATTTGGATTGCCAGGACTTCTGTAGGAAGGTAAGTTTACATTAGGCATCTCTCCTCTACTTTGATTTTACATTCACCAGCCAAGTCCAACCTTCACTCTCGTTTCCAGGACTGGCCAATCCTCTGCCATTCAACTGATTTCAAACTACAAGGAAATAAAAAGTAGGACTTCCTCACAACATAATTGGAGATTTTTGTTCTAGGGAATAATGAGGCAATCCCAAATGACCCATCACATAATTTTTTAATATCCCCAAGATGCATATAAAATCAAAAAGCTAACAAGGCTGTCAGTCATAGGATAACGGCTCTCTTTTTAGACTTGTAGCTATCTAAAAAGGAATAGGGTCACAAAACCAAAGGCACCAAACTGGAAAATTCACTCTAGTTTTTGTAACTTGCATCCTCTAGAGTTTTTCAGTTTATACCCTTAGGTAACAGGAGTAGTCAGGCAACAATCTTTTGTCTACAGGATCTCTATGAAGATCAGTACTAATATTGTACTGTTATGGAAAAAAAGGTTCAGATATAAAAAAATGACATAATTTTCTGTGGTATATTGGGAATGGACAGGATTGCTAGCTCTGTACCTATAATTGATATCAAAACAAAATAGTCATAAAAGTGGAAGAGAGAGCAACACATAGTTACCTAATTACCAAAACAAAATTTCACTCTTGGTTTGAGAATAAACTTAAAAATAATAGTATTATTTTTTATTAGGTTCCTTAATTGATTTCAAATGAAGCCTTCGAGCAGGAGCAAAAAAAAATCAGATTTTCAAGAGAGGTACAGTACCTTATTTAGGTCTACACACATTTTTTCCTTAAAGGTGTACAACTATAGAATAAAACCCACAGAATAATTTTCCTAGTAGTGAAATACAGAATAAACTGCAGACACTGACAAACTGCTTGCCTATATTCAGTACCTACCAATTTTGTCCAGTTGTTTGGATACATGCAGAGAGTTTTCCCAAAGTTTACATCTAAAACACTTAGCTAAAATCAAACTGTTCAATAATACAGTAAACTTCTTTTCTTGAACAGCCACAAAATCTGACAACCCTAAAAAGAAAAGTTCACAATATTAAATATAGTATTCCAGTTTACTGAAAAAAATGAAAAATCCATTAATACTGAACATACATCTTGTAATTCGTGAGCCATTTCTGAAAATCTTTGCAGTATCTTGTGTCAGAGCAAAGTCTTGTATGGGAATACATCCTAGCTGAGCCTGAATAAGACTGAAGAAAGAAGGAATTTCATTATTTCCTTTTAAAAAATATCCCACAATATCTGCCATCACTGATTGAGGCATCCTTAAAATTCCTCTCTGCCTTGATTTCTGACACTAGATGATTCTATACCTATATATCTATCTATCTGTATATCTGTATCATTATTGCTGCAAATAATTGTAGACTTCCTCTTCCCAATCTCTAGAAGTCTAGTTCTCTCTTTACTCTTGTTTATTCAAACTTTTTCTCTCAAAAATCTCATTTCAAGAATTTCATTACAATCTCTAGATTGATAAATTTTAAATGCTTACAGAGCACCCTCACTTAGATTGTTTCTTAAATCTCAACACATCTAAAATTGTCATATTCTCCTCCAATATAGTTCTGCTTTGGGGCTCTACTATGTTAGGTATTCCAGGCATACCTTAGAAATATTGCAGGTTTGGTTCCAGACCACCACAATAAAGCAAATATGGCAATTGTCTTACCAATGGGTTTCAGCCCTGGGCAAGTTCACCATGGATTCAATGTGACCAAAGAAATGACAGTAGAATGTTCTTAGGATGAAAGGGTTATAAACAACTTTATTCCCACAGTGGCAAGTCAATCACTAGAATCCCATCCACTCAGAGCGAGTCTGCATGCAGCAAGCTGGTCTCTGCCTCTGGGCCTCTTTACCTGTGCAGCCATCTCAGTCTCTGTCCTTGGCACTGCCACCACTCCAGCCTCTGCTCTGCTCTCCTGCAGTTTTGCAGCCGTGCCACCACGTCGCTCAGAGCACTGAGTGGAGCTCTTTATATATAGTCAATAACAATATATTGCCCACACAAGTGTAGTGAGCTAGCCAACCAAGGCCAGGTGAGAATCCTGGACCAGGAACCTTCACTTTATCCACAGCAATAAAGTGAGCTAAAGGAACTTTTGGTTTCCCTCTGCATATAAAAGCTATGTTTACACTGTACTGGAGTTTATTAAGTGTGCAATAGCATAGGTCTAAAACAATGTATATATCTTAATTTAAATATACTTTATTGCTAAAAAATGCTAACCATTATCTGAACTTTCAATAAGTCATTAGCTTTTTGCTGGTGGAGGGTCTTAATGGTTGCTGACTGATCAGGGAGGTGTTTGCAAAAGTTAGGGGTAGCTGTAGCAGTTTTTAAAATAAGACAACAATGAAGTCTGCCACATCAATTGATTCTTCCTTTCATGACTGACCTCTCTGGAGCCTGTGATGCTGTTTGATAACATTTACCCAAAACAGAGCTTCTTTCAAAATTGGAGTCAGTCTTCTCAAAACCTGCTATTGCTTTATCAGTTACATTAATGTAATATTCTAAATTCTTTGTTGTCAATTCAACAATCTTCACAGCATCTTCAGCACAGGCAGATTCCATTTCAAGAAACCACTTTCTTTGCTCACATAGGAAGCTATTCCCCATCATTAAAAGTCTTATCATGAGAAAACAGTGATTTAGTCACATCTTCAAGCTTCACTTCTAATACTAATTGTTTTGCTATTTTCACCACATCTGTAGTTATTTTCTCTACTGAAGTCTTGAACCTTTCAAAGTCATTCACAAGGGTTGGAATCTTCTTCCAAACTCCTGTTAATGCTGGTATCTTGACCTCCTCCCATGAATTGCAAATGTTCTTAATGCATCTAGAATGGTGAAATCCTTACCAGAAGATTTCAAGTTGCATTGCCCAGATCCTTCAGAGGAATCATTATCTATGGCAGCTATAGCCTAACAAAATTTATTTCTTAAATAATAAGACCTACAAGTTAAAATGTCTCCTTGATCCATGAGTTGCAGAATGGATGTTGTGTTTGCAGACACGAAACACTACTAAATTCATTGTCCATCTCCCTTAGAGCTCTTGGATGACCAGGTGCATAGTCAATTAGCAGTAACATTTTGAAGAAAATCTTTTTTTCTTAATAGGTCTCCACAGTGGACTTAAAATACTCGTAAACCACGTTGTAAACAGATGTGCTGCCATCCAGGCTTTGTTGTTCCTTTTATAGAGCACAGGCAAAGTAGATTAACATAATTCTAAAGACCCTAGGATTTTCAGAATGGTAAATGACTCCAGCTGATTGATAAAAGGCTCTAACTGAAAGTCACCAACTGCACTAGCCCTTAACAAGACAGCCTATTTTTTGAAGATCTGAAGCCAAACATTAACTCATTAACTTCTCTCTAGCTTTGAAAGTCCTAGCTGGCATTTTCTTCCCATAAAAGGCTGTTTCATCTATTGAAAATATGTTGTTTAGTGTAGACCCCTTTATTAATCATCTTAGCCAGAACTCCTGGATAACTTGCTGCAGCTTCTACATCAGCATTTGTTGTTTCCCCTTGTATGTTACAGAGACAGCTTCTTTCCTTTAACCTCATGAACCAACCCCTGCTAGCTTCAAACTTTTTCTGCAACTTTCTCACTTCTCAACCTTCACAGAATTGAAGAGAGTTAGGGTCTTGCTCTGGAGCAGGATTTGGCTTAAGGAAATGTTGTGCCTGTTTTGATCTTCTATTCCAGACCACTAAATCTTTCTCCCTATCAGCAATAAGGCTGTTACGTTTTCTTTTCATTCATCTATTCACTGCAGTAGCACTTTATATTTCCTTCAAAAACTTTCCCTTTGCATTCACAACTTGGTTAACTCCTTGGCACAAAAGGCCTAGCTTTTGGCATATCTTGGCTTTCTACGTGCCTTCCTCAGTAAGCTTAATCACTTTTAGCTTTTGATTTAAAGTGACAGACTTACAACTCTGCCTTTCACTTGAATACTTACAAGCCATTGAAGGGATATTAAATGGCCTTATTTCAATACTGTTGGGTCTTAGGCAATAGGGAGTCCTGAGGAAAAGGTGAGTGACAGGGAGAAGAACAGTTGGTGGAGCAGTCAAAACACACACAACATTTATTATTAAGTTCATTATCTATGTGAGCATAGGTCATGACACCCCCAAACAATTACAATAATAATATCAAAGATCACTGATCACACATCACCATAACAAATATAATAATAATGAAAATGTTTGAAATATTGCAAGAATTACCAAAATATGACACAAGGACATGAAGTAAACAAATGCTGTTGGAAAAATGGTACTGACAGAATTGTTTGAAGTAAGGTTGCCAAAACCTTCAATTTGTTAAAAAAAAAAAAAAAGCAGTATCTGTGAAGTGCAATAAAGCAAAATGCAATGAAACAAGGTATGTCTGTATAGAAAACCAACACAGTTTGTATCAACAAATATTTATTGCCTACAGAGTAATAAGCACAGTGTTAGGTGCTACAAAATTTGAGGGGCAGCTGGTAAGATGGAGAAAAGAGCTACCATCCAGTGTGCCTACTATCTCCCGGGTTCTTTGCCAAAACTGTTTTGTCTGTTTTCTTATCTAACGAGACACTGACATGCAAATCACCCTACAGATCTAACTAAAATCATTAGACTTGTATTACTCTCTGGGTGGGTCTCTTGAGAAGACTAAAAACAGTCAAGTGTATCAAGAGTAAGGGTAGAATAGCTTTATTTAATGGTTTAGTTTTAGACANATTATTTCCTTTTAAAAAATATCCCACAATATCTGCCATCACTGATTGAGGCATCCTTAAAATTCCTCTCTGCCTTGATTTCTGACACTAGATGATTCTATACCTATATATCTATCTATCTGTATATCTGTATCATTATTGCTGCAAATAATTGTAGACTTCCTCTTCCCAATCTCTAGAAGTCTAGTTCTCTCTTTACTCTTGTTTATTCAAACTTTTTCTCTCAAAAATCTCATTTCAAGAATTTCATTACAATCTCTAGATTGATAAATTTTAAATGCTTACAGAGCACCCTCACTTAGATTGTTTCTTAAATCTCAACACATCTAAAATTGTCATATTCTCCTCCAATATAGTTCTGCTTTGGGGCTCTACTATGTTAGGTATTCCAGGCATACCTTAGAAATATTGCAGGTTTGGTTCCAGACCACCACAATAAAGCAAATATGGCAATTGTCTTACCAATGGGTTTCAGCCCTGGGCAAGTTCACCATGGATTCAATGTGACCAAAGAAATGACAGTAGAATGTTCTTAGGATGAAAGGGTTATAAACAACTTTATTCCCACAGTGGCAAGTCAATCACTAGAATCCCATCCACTCAGAGCGAGTCTGCATGCAGCAAGCTGGTCTCTGCCTCTGGGCCTCTTTACCTGTGCAGCCATCTCAGTCTCTGTCCTTGGCACTGCCACCACTCCAGCCTCTGCTCTGCTCTCCTGCAGTTTTGCAGCCGTGCCACCACGTCGCTCAGAGCACTGAGTGGAGCTCTTTATATATAGTCAATAACAATATATTGCCCACACAAGTGTAGTGAGCTAGCCAACCAAGGCCAGGTGAGAATCCTGGACCAGGAACCTTCACTTTATCCACAGCAATAAAGTGAGCTAAAGGAACTTTTGGTTTCCCTCTGCATATAAAAGCTATGTTTACACTGTACTGGAGTTTATTAAGTGTGCAATAGCATAGGTCTAAAACAATGTATATATCTTAATTTAAATATACTTTATTGCTAAAAAATGCTAACCATTATCTGAACTTTCAATAAGTCATTAGCTTTTTGCTGGTGGAGGGTCTTAATGGTTGCTGACTGATCAGGGAGGTGTTTGCAAAAGTTAGGGGTAGCTGTAGCAGTTTTTAAAATAAGACAACAATGAAGTCTGCCACATCAATTGATTCTTCCTTTCATGACTGACCTCTCTGGAGCCTGTGATGCTGTTTGATAACATTTACCCAAAACAGAGCTTCTTTCAAAATTGGAGTCAGTCTTCTCAAAACCTGCTATTGCTTTATCAGTTACATTAATGTAATATTCTAAATTCTTTGTTGTCAATTCAACAATCTTCACAGCATCTTCAGCACAGGCAGATTCCATTTCAAGAAACCACTTTCTTTGCTCACATAGGAAGCTATTCCCCATCATTAAAAGTCTTATCATGAGA